GAAAAATTTGAAGCAATAAATAAACTAGTATTACCTCAGTATATTTACGAAAATTTAAAGTATATTCACAAAAACAAAAGTGATTTTAGTAAAAAGTGATGTATACTCTACTCTACTCGTACTGGGAACAAACACAAGCTAGTGATATCAGTTTCTCGACTCCACAGAGTCAGTAATTCATTCTTAGGGCAATGTATACGCCCTAAGAATGAAATATTAATATAAAATATATATAATGTATAAGTAACAGAAAATATACAAGGTTATAAGTTTTTAAGCGACAGTAGCCTAATGGCAGGGCGCGGACCGCGAACTCCATAAGGTCATGGGTTCGAATCCGCCATTCGACTACTGGCGTGAACCACTCGTAACACAAGCAATTTAAGCTTAACACGAGTGGTTAAGGGGAATATTAGTAATGTTTATAGCATTGTTAATATTCTTTAAAAAATATACAAGGTCTCCTTATTACCAAATTTAAATATTTTATTAAACAGAAACTGCACGAAAAGGTTATTGTAATATAAATGAATATACGTTTGATAACAACCCCTTGGATTGAAATGATCGCTTCCAAGCTGTTTTTAAAATAACATTTGTAAATAGTTTGTACAAACTTTTTTATTGTAAAATTTACTATTTTTTAAAGTCCCGCTTAGTTTCTTGCTGGTTCTTACGAGGACAGAGGTTTTTTCCCGAACCAGTGGTAAAGTAAAAAAGATTTTCTATAAGAATTTCATGTAATCAATACTGATAAATAAAAAATATTCCATTCTATTCTATATTTTACGAGAACGCAATTACAAATGAAAAGCAATTTCTCAAACTTACTTATTTTGGTGAATAAAAAACCGAAAACTTTATAACCTTATAGTATAGTATATATACACATTTTATATATATATATATATATATATATATATATATATATATATATATATATATATATATATATATATATATATATATATATATATATACATTATTGCGTAGCGTATAGTCACAATAAAATATACTACTGTTATTACATTTTTCATCTTCATAATGGATAATAACTCAATCTAATCCTCATTAATGATCAAAACAAGGGCGTGAGACATACAAGCGGGTCACGTGAGTTTACTACAAATGTGACTTCGGTATAAGGTCATAAATAGAGTTTTATAAAAAAACAGGTCGCTGAACTATACCCTCACTCATAAATAGCACCTATTGTAAGGAAAACTCTCGACTCTACTACTATTTGTTACACACAAGTACCTACTAGTGTACAATGTAAAACTTTATTTTGTTTTCTTCCAACTCTTAATTGAGTTTTAATAATTTATACTTTGTTGAGTTTTAACCTATTCAACAATACCAAACCGCCCTGGTTTGTCTAAGTGGGATCTATTAATCTAAACATAAGATATTCAGAACCTATTCAATTTATCAATTTTAATTGTTTTCAATTGATTCAGTCATCCTGATATCCCGAAACAGAGGAAATGTATGAAACTCGCTTCTTGACATCGTTCGTAAAACTTATATACAAAAAAAGTTTGCAAAATCCAAAAGTGCACGCTTCATAATCTCATTTGAATATATATATATATATATTTATATATATATATATATATATATATATATATATATATAGAAAAATATTCCTTTATCCATATTTGAGACGAAAGAAGAGATAAATGAGAATATTTTTTTGTAGAAAAACATACTAGTTTTTTTTTACGTTTTCCTTAATTACAATTAAACGAGACCAAATAACTCAGTGATTTTTAAAAGAAACCTGTGCGTTGAGATTTTATACGTAATAAAAAAATATTTTTATACATTAATTTCAACGACCGTAATCGTGCGGACATCCGGACACCTTGGAATTTTTTTAAGCAGTTTGTTTTTTACACTAAATACAGAAAATTACTTTTAAAAATAATAGAAACATGAAAACGAGTGATTTTTCTCGATATGTGTGTATTTTCATTATTCTAAAAGTGCAATAGTAAAGAAATAAGGACATGTTTAGCTCAGAAATTTACTGGATTACCATTAGGTGAAAATAGAGCACAACATCAACGCTTCGCTTATGAGGCCTGCAAAATATTTTCCACATAATATTTTTAGATTTTGATGCAGGTTATTACGTTTCATTAAATGTTTAATTTTATCTACTACTATGTGTATATTAAAAGTATAAATTAAACAATAATAATAATATTTAATAGGACAAAACGGGTGCTGCATAAACTTATCATAACAAAAATTACTCTTTTTTATGTTAGAAGTCCACCCACTTTCACAAGTCCACTTCTATGTATCACTCCAGTCAGTGTCCTGGCTGTCTATTAGACTGTTGGTTACAAAAGTGGCGCATTTTTAAATTTTATATCATAATTTCCTACCCTATATCATTATAAATTTTACTGTAGATTGCTCTACCAAAGTTTATTTACAGTTGCCTTAACCTTCTACCTCGTTTAGTGAATTTCATTATTATTGAATTTGAGAAATAGAGTTTATTTCAATTATTGCGACGGTTATTTTTTATCACGAAATAATCTGTACAAAATATAAACAAAGAGTAAATATTTATTTTACTTCATTTTATTTATCATAACTTATTTTAAAAGGATTTGGAATCAAACTAAGAAAAGGGAATTAAAAAATGCTGTCGCTTAATTGGACAAGCTCGAGAAAGTTTGGTTCATAACTATTCAGACTTTTTCTACTACACTTCAATGCAATAATAGGTCTTTAATAAAATTGCTTAAAACTTCCCTGGTTTCAATCAAAGAATCTCAATGTACCTTTTTTAATTATTTATTTCTACGCTTGATAATATAAATAAAAACATTGCTAAAATGTGCATTTACTTAACCTGCTAATAAATTGAGCTGAAATAACAACAGTACAGCTTTTATTTTTACTATGAATTATAAGGAGGGCAATACATACAATGATTGCAAAGATGTTAAATTATATTTTTTAAAGAATATTAACAATGCTATAAACATTAATAATATTCCCCTCAACCAGTCGTGGTAAGCTTAAATTGCTTGTGTTATGAGTGGTTCACGCCAGTAGTCGAATGGTGGATTCGAACCCACGACCTTATTGAGTTGGCGGTCTGCGTCCTGCCATTAGGCTACTTTTGCTTTATTTATAATGCAAATGTTACCAAAATTGTGTATTTATTTAACAATCAACTTTAAAGTTGATTTTTCAATCGTCAGATAAAAGTCATCCATGAAATGATTAATTACCTAGCCAAATATAAAATCGAAACAATTGAACAATTTTATTCATACAAATGTAATCTTCATTTTACTTATGTTGTATTTTATCCCATAAATAACTTTTATCTAATGGTTGAGAAAATTCGATCCTTATGTAATCAGACTATTTTAAATTATTGTCTACTATTAAAATATATGAAAGGTTTTTAAATAAATTATTTTATTTCATTAATTGCGTTTTAACGAAAATCCACTTACTGAATGTAGCTATCACGGCAATCCTTCCTACTATACGAAAAGTCCCTATTATTGGACTTCTACGTGATATTGAAGGATAAGAAGCTTACCGAAACCCACACAGCAAAATGGAACAATAACAACTAAAGTGACAAAATCAGCAACTGTTAAGGGCAAATGTTCACAAATGTGACTTGTTTTTTTTTGTGGTTATTGACCTCTTCATAAAAAATAATGATTGCGTTACAAAATCAATATCGCAACAAGAAAGTTGGTACATAGTAAGTAGTATGAATTATTCAGGACCTTCGATAGTATATATTAACTTAATGTAAGGGACCGCTATAACCACACTTTTATAAGTTACTTAGTTTCATCTAATTTAATAACCAATTCAAATGTCACTTGTTCTTAAAGTTTTTTGTTCTTATTTTAGCTCTAAGGTAATACCTAGTCATTTCGAACATTTTAACGACATTGATATGTTTGATTCCCTTTATGTAAAACTCTATTAAAAAAAAACACAGAAAAATGCAATATCGAAAGATGGAGTATATTGCCATTGTAGATCTGAAAAAATTATACCTAGTAAACGAAATACCAAAATAATTCTGTTTGATCTCCTTTTTACTCCTTTGGTATTAGATTTTTAACTTGCATAATATACACAAAATTCAAATATATGAGGGGTACCAGGATCTCCGTCCGGAACTCAATCGTGGCCCCTCTCTCGCTTTGCTTTATAAAACACGTCCTGGGGGCGGTCCTTTCTTCCCCTAACACCCTCTTAGTGCAATCACAATATCTCGTGACCACTTTTGAGACTACTATCTAGACGTTCGAGGACCCTACCCCAAGCGTCCGTATCCCAAGAGGCCTCGTTTCTTGTTGAGTCTGTAGGTGAGTCTTACTATTCGTCGCTGCATCCAATAATAATAATAATAATAATAAAGTAAATAATAATAATAATAATAAAAAAATAAAAATAAAAAATAATAAAAAAAAGGCGTAGGGAATTGACGACCCCATCGCCCGCTGACGTAACAGTTAAGTGACAAAACTGCTACGTCAACGCAGTCAGTCAGCGCCTTGCGAGAGGTGTGAGCGCCGTGCCGCGGCAGAATTTAGGGTGCAGAGGCCCGTTTGTGCTTATGGCTACACACGAAACGGTGCCGGGCCTGGGCGTCTCCCGTTAATGGACGCCCAAATAATGGATGATGGATAAAAAGATAGTGCGCAAAGGGCCGCTGCCTGGGGGGTCGCCGGGGCGCGTCTGGAGCTGGCGCTGGACGCGGCAGCATGCGGGCCGCCAGCCGAGCGCGAGGAGCTGCACGGTCATCTACCAGCCCTCCGCATCCATCATCCCCACCAGAAGGCTTGGTGTCGGCTGGGTCTTCTCGGACTCAGCAAGCGGCACCCGCCGCTGGTGGAGCACGTCGCATGCGTTGGTCACAAGAAATGAATGCAAACGCACTGCGGGCGTACTTTAGGGCAAAAGGGGAAGAAACTGGATGTTTGGCGTATCGGGCTAGGATGCATCGTCTTTTTGCTGAGCTGGAGCCATCTTTAATCGTCACAGAGCAAAACCTGGCAGACCGAGTTCGGTATATCTTGCGCTCAAATATATTTGATGTCGCCGAACTCGAACGGCTACGACGTGAGGCTGTTCCCTCGTCGGATGAGAATGCTACGGCTGAGGATGCGGCGCCACAAATGGTAGAGGCAACCCGCAAACGTGGATGCCGCCGTGAATACCCCAGTTGTGGTTGATTCAAACGATGATGGAACAGTCGCCCAGGAACTGGAATTAGAGCATATGAGGAGTATATTGGAAGAGGCGATTGTGGAAACGCGCAGTACGCCTCTCGAAAATCGACCGCGACTTCCCCGCATAGCCCTAAGCAAGCGGAATCGGGCTGTCGTGAGGGCTCTGAACCCAATGCTGGTGACCTATTTGGAAGCCAGCCGGGACCTTTGCGAGACGGACTCAATTCTTTTTGGCGCCGCGCTGGCAGTCTGCCGTATCATAGGCGCCAAGGTTTCCACGGCTGGACGCGCTACTGGCCATAGTAGCGCTATCCCAGCATGGAGAAGAAGAATTGAGGAACGTATCGCAAAGGCTAGAGCTCTCATCGGCAGACTGATATGCTTCAGATCGGGCAACAACAGGCCAAGAATTGTGCGCACCGTCAGGATGGCGTTTGCTGGGACAAATGTCAGTTTGTCCCAGCCGGATATAACGCAAAAACTGACGGAGCGCATAGATGATCTGAAGCAGAGAATCGCTGCTTGGGGAAAGCGGATTCGGCGATATACCGAGAGGTCGACACGGTTCAACCAGAATCGTCTCTTCCAGAGTGATCAGAAGAGGCTCTATGAATCATTGGAGCGACCAATGGTAAGTGGAACGGGTCCAGCACCGGATCAGGCCGACACTGTAGCATTCTGGCGCGGCCTGTGGTCAGAGCCCGTAAACCACAGCGAGGGCCCTTGGACGGAAGTTGTGGCGAGTCAGTGTGCGGGTATTACGCCCATGGACCCCGTCATCATAACGCCGGATGACGTAGCTGAGGCGGTTCGTAGGGCCCCGAACTGGAAAAGTCCGGGGCTTGACGGGCTGCATCACTACTGGCTGAAGGGGTTCATGGTGTGTCACTCTGTGCTCGCCCGACAGTTTCAAGAGGCTCTCAACCAGAAGTCGCTCCCAAGCCTCTTCACTACTGGGATCACTCATTTGGTTCCTAAAGACCAGGGTACCACAGACCCGAGCAAATACCGCCCCATCACGTGTCTAACGACCATATACAAGACACTAACATCCATTTTGAGCGCGAGAATCACTTGTCACCTGGACTCAAATCAGGTGATGTCGCGCGCTCAAAATGGATGTCGGGGCGGTGGTCGTGGAACCAAGGAACCACTCCTCATTGACGCGGTCATTGGCAAAGTGGTGAAACGCAACCGTCGGAACTTCTCCGCCGCCTGGATAGACTACAGAAAGGCATTCGACTCGGTGCCCCATACATGGCTAAAGAGAGTCCTCGAGCTGTACAAGATTGACTGTACAGTTAGAGACTTCCTCGAGCAGTGTATGGGGCAGTGGAGTACGATCCTTTGTCATCTAGGCGAGCGGATGATGGCTGCGGAGAACCACATAAGGATAAGAAGGGGTATCTTCCAGGGCGATTGTCTGAGTCCAATCTGGTTCTGCCTCTCTCTGAACCCTCTCAGTACTTTACTGGAGGGCTCCGGGAGGGGATTTCAGCTTCGGAAAGGAGGTACAAAAGTGACCCACCTTTTCTATATGGATGACCTCAAGTTATTCGCCTCCAGTCGCTCCCATCTTATGGAATTGCTAAACATCACTTGTGAATTTAGCAATTCCATTGGAATGGAGCTGGGGACGGATAAGTGTGCGGTCCTCCATGTTGAAAGGGGAAGGGTTGCTAACTCTGAGGGCGTAGACTTATCTATGCCCGTCAACTTAAGGACCCTTTCCGAGGCTGAAACATACCGATACCTGGGTATGTCACAGAACATCGGTATCGATGAGGCTGGTATGAAACAGTCAGTTTGCGACGTGTTTTATGCACGCTTGACCAAAGTGCTTAACAGCCTTTTGTCCGGTGTGAATAAGGCACACGCATATAACGGCTGGGTCATGCCTGTCCTCATGTATACCTTTGGCATACTCAGGTGGACTCAGACTGAACTTAACGCCCTGGATAGAAAAGTCCGCACTACCATGACGTCCCATAGGATGCATCATCCGAGATCGTCGGTAATGAGGCTGTACTTGCCGCGGAAGCATGGTGGTCGTGGCTTCTTGAGCGCGCTCACCATGCATAATCGCGAAGTGTGCAGCCTCCGTGATTACTTCCTGGCGAGATCGGATGATCCATTCTATAAGGACGTCATTTCTTGTGATAAAGGACTTACCCCTCTATCCTTAGCCAACGAGCAATGGCAAGACCCGGCAGTGCAGAGCATTTCCGACCGGGAGACCGTATGGAAGGAGAAGGAGCTCCACGGGAGGTTCTACAAGGCTCTACATGAGCCTTTCGTAGACACAGTAGCCTCCCTCCACTGGCTACGCTTTGGTGATCTCTTCGGGGAAACCGAGGGTTTTGTCTGTGCAATACAGGATCAGGTTATTAAGACCAACAACTATCGGAGATACATCCTAAAGGATGGCACCGTCGACATCTGTCGAGCTTGTCGCCATCCCGGTGAGTCACTTAGGCATGTTATCTCCGGTTGTTCGGCGCTTTCTAACTCTGAGTACTTGCACAGGCACAACCTAGTAGCCAGAATTCTACACCAGGAGCTCGCTCTGAAATACGGTCTCGTGGATCGGAAATTGCCGTATTACAAGTACTTGCCGGAAGCCGTGCTCGAAAATGATCGCGCCAGGCTCTATTGGGACCGGGCCATCATCACAGACAGGACTATTCTTGCGAATAAGCCTGATATTGTGCTGATGGACCGGGCACAGTCAAGGATATTTTTGGTCGACATTACCATTCCGTATGACGAGAACCTCGTGAAAGCCGAAACAGACAAGAAAACAAAATATCTGGACCTGGCTCACGAGGTGACCGACATGTGGGGTGGTCTGCCGACCGAAATTATTCCTGTAGTCGTCTCTGCAAACGGGCTAATCCCAGTCAGCCTCTCGGGTCATCTGAGGCGGCTGGGACTACGTGGCGGACCGCTCCAGGTTCAAATGCAGAAGGCGGTGCTCCTCGATACCGCCCGCATCGTCCGCCGGTTTCTTTCCCTTTCCCCCTAACCCTCGGCCGTTTGGTCTCCCCTGCCGAGGGCCTCCATCTGGTTGGGCTTTTACTTATTTATGTACTTTTATATTTATTTTATGTTATTGATATTTATGTATATTTATCTTTTCATTTTCATTTATAATTATATATTTATAGAACCCAACCAGATGAGAAAACTATATAGATACCCCATAATAATAATAATAATAAAGGATGATGGAACATAGGAATAGGTTGGAGCCCTTCCATTGCTTGGTTGGGTCTTCGCAGGCCCAGCAATCGGCACCCGCCACTGGTGGAGTACGCCGCATGCGATGGACCATCAATATGAATTCAAACGCATTGCGGGCGTATTTTAGGGCGAAAGGGGGAGAAATTGGAGGTTTCGCGTATCGGGCTAGGATGCATCGTCTTTTTACTGAGCTGGAGCCATCTATTACTGTCACCGAGCAAAACCTGGCAGACCGAGTTCGGTATATCTTACGCTCAAATATATTTGATGGCGCCGAACTCGAACGGCTAGACGTGAGGCTGTTCCCTCATCAAATGAAAACGCTACGACTGAGGGTGCGGTGCCACAAGTTGCAGAACAACCCGCACACGTGGATGCCGCCGAGAATACCCCAGTGGTTGCTGATTCAAATGATGATGGAACATTCACCCAGGAACTAGAAATAGAGCAAATGAGGAGTACATTGGAAGAGGCGATTATGGAAACGCGCAGTACGCCTCTCGAAAATCGACCGCGACTTCCCCGCATAGCCCTAAGCAAGCGGAATCGGGCTGTCGTGAGGGCTCTGAACCCAATGCTGGTGACCTATTTGGAAGCCAGCCGGGACCTTTGCGAGACGGACTCAATTCTCTTTGGCGCCGCACTGGCAGTCTGCCGTATTATAGGCGCCAAACTTTCCACGGCTGGACGCACTACTGGACAAAGTAGTGCTATCCCAGCCTGGAGAACAAGAATTGAAGAACGTATCGCAAAGGCTAGGGCCCTCATCGGCAGACTGATATGCTTCAGGTCAGGCAATACCAGGCCAAGGATTGTGCGCACCGTCAGGATGGCGTTTGCTGGGACAAATGTTAGTTTGTCCCAGCCGGATATAATGCAAAAACTGACGGAGCGCATAGACGACCTGAAGCAGAGAATCGCTGCTTGGGGAAAGCGAATTCGGCGATATACCGAGAGGTCGACACGGTTCAACCAGAATCGTCTCTTCCAGAGTGATCAGAAGAGGCTCTATAAATCATTGGAGCGACCAATGGTAAGTGGAACGGGCCCAGTACCGAATCAGGCCGACACGGTCGCATTCTGGCGCAGCCTGTGGTCAGAGCCCGTAAACCACAACGAGGGCCCTTGGACGGAAGTTGTGGCGAGTCAGTGTGCGGGTATTACGCCCATGGACCCCGTCACCATAACGCCGGGTGACGTAGCTGAGGCGGTCCGTAGGGCCCCGAACTGGAAAAGTCCGGGACTCGACGGGCTGCATCACTACTGGCTGAAGGGGTTCGTGGTGTGTCACACTGTGCTCGCCCGACAGTTTCAAGAGGTTCTCAACCAGAAGTCGCTCCCGAGCCTCTTCACTACTGGGATCACCCATTTGGTTCCTAAAGGCCAGAGTACCACAGACCCGAGCAAATACCGCCCCATCACATGTCTACCGACCATATATAAGACACTAACATCCATTTTGAGCGCGAGAATCACTCGTCACCTGGACTCAAATCAGGTGATGTCGCGCGCTCAAAATGGATGTCGGGGCGGCGGTCGTGGAACCAAGGAACCACTCCTCATTGACGCGGTCATTGGCAAAGTGGTGAAACGCAACCGTCGGAACTTCTCCGCCGCCTGGATAGACTACAGAAAGGCATTCGACTCGGTGCCCCATACATGGCTAAAGAGAGTCCTCGAACTGTACAAGATAGACTGTACAGTTAGAGACTTCCTCGAGCAGTGTATGGGGCAGTGGAGTACGATCCTTTGTCATCTGGGCGAGCGGATGATGGCTGCGGAGAACCACATAAGGATAAGAAGGGGTATCTTCCAGGGCGATTGTCTGAGTCCAATATGGTTCTGCCTCTCTCTGAACCCTCTCAGTACCTTACTGGAGGGCTCCGGGAGGGGATTTCAGCTACGGAAAGGAGGGACAAAAGTGACCCACCTTTTCTATATGGATGACCTCAAGTTATTCGCCTCCAGTCGCTCCCATCTTATGGAACTGCTAAACATCACTTGTGAATTTAGCAATTCCATTGGAATGGAGCTGGGGACGGATAAGTGTGCGGTCCTCCATGTTGAGAGGGGTAGGGTTGCTAACTCTGAGGGCATAGACTTATCTATGCCCGTCAACTTAAGGACCCTTTCCGAGGCTGAAACATACCGATACCTGGATATGTCACAGAACATTGGTATCGATGAGGCTGGTATGAAACAGTCAGTTTGCGACGTGTTTTATGCACGCTTGACCAAAGTGCTTAACAGCCTTTTGTCCGGTGTGAATAAGACACAAGCATATAACGGCTGGGTCATACCTGTCCTCATGTATACCTTTGGCATACTCAGGTGGACTCAGACTGAACTTAACGCCCTGGATAGAAAAGTCCGCACTACCATGACGTCCCACAGGATGCATCATCCGAGATCGTCGGTAATGAGGCTGTACTTGCCGCGAAAGCATGGTGGGCGTGGCTTCTTGAGCGCGCTCACCATGCATAATCGCGAAGTGTGCAGCCTCCGTAATTACTTCCTGGCGAGATCGGATGATCCATTCTATATGGACGTCATTTCTTGTGATAAAGGACTTACCCCTCTATCCTTAGCCAACGAGCAATGGCAAGACCCGGCAGTGCAGACAATTTCCGACCGGGAGACCGTATGGAAGGAGAAGGAGCTCCACGGGAGGTTCTACAAGTCTCTACATGGGCCTTTCGTAGACACAGTAACCTCTCTCCACTGGCTACGCTTTGGTGACCTCTTCGGGGAAACCGAGGGTTTTGTCTGTGCAATACAGGATCAGGTTATTAAGACCAACAACTATCGGAGATACATCCTAAAGGATGGCACCATCGACATCTGTCGAGCTTGTCGCCATCCCGGTGAGTCACTTAGGCATGTCATCTCCGGTTGTTCGGCGCTTTCTAACTCTGAGTACTTGCACAGGCACAACCTAGTAGCCAGAATTCTACACCAGGAGCTCGCTCTGAAATACGGTTTCGTGGATCGGAAGTTGCCGTATTACAAGTACTTGCCGGAAGCCGTGCTCGAAAATGATCGCGCCAGGCTCTATTGGGACCGGGCCATCATCACAGACAGGACTATTCTTGCGAATAAGCCTGATATTGTGCTGATGGACCGGGCACAGTCAAGGATATTTTTGGTCGACATTACCATTCCGTGTGACGAGAACCTCGTGAAAGCCGAAACAGATAAGCAAACAAAATATCTGGACCTGGCTCACGAGGTGACCGACATGTGGGGTGGTCTGCCGACCGAAATTATTCCTGTAGTCGTCTCTGCAAACGGGCTAATCCCAGTCAGCCTCTCGGGTCATCTGAGGCGGCTGGGACTACGTGGCGGACCGCTCCAGGCTCAAATGCAGAAGGCGGTGCTCCTCGATACCGCCCGCATCGTCCGCCGGTTTCTTTCCCTTTCCCCCTAACCCTCGGCCGTTTGGTCTCCCCTGCCGAGGGCTTCCATCTGGTTGGGCTTTTATTTATTTATGTATTTTCATATTTATTTTATTTTATTGATATTTTTGTATGTTTATCTTTTCATTTTCGTTTATAATTATATATTTATACATCCCAACCAGATGAGAAAACTATATAGATACCCCACACAATAATAATAATAATAATAATGACGTAACGGTTATGTGACAAAACCGCTACGTCAGCGCAGTCAGTCAGCACCTTGCCAAGAGGTGTTAGTGCCGTGCCTCGGCAAAAATTGAAGGTGCGAAGGCCCGCTTGTGCACATGGCCTCACCATGAAACGGCGCCGGGTCTGGGCGTCTCCCGCTAAATGACGCCCACCACTATGGATGATGGAATACGGAAGAACGCGCAAAGGGCCGCTGCCTGGAGGTCGCCAGGGCGCGTCTGGAGCTGGCGCTGGACGCGGCAGCATGCGAACCGCCAGCCGAGCGCGAGGTGCTGCACGACCACCCAGCAGCCCCTCGCATCCATCATCCCCACCAGCTGGCTTGGTGTCGGCAGGGTCTTCGCGGGCCCAGCAATCGGCACCCGCCTCTGGTGGAGTACGCCGCATGCGTTGGACAACCCAGATGAACAGCAACGCATTGCGGGCGTATTTTGGGGCGAAAGGGGGAGAAACTGGAGGTTTGGCGTATCGGGCTAGGATGCATCGTCTTTTTGCTGAGCTGGAGCCATCTTTAACCGTCACAGAGCAAAACCTGGCAGACCGAGTTCGGTATATCTTGCGCTCAAATATATTTGATGTCGCCGAACTCGAACGGCTACGACGTGAGGCTGTTCCCTCGTCGGATGAGAATGCTACGGCTGAGGATGCGGCGCCACAAATGGTAGAGCAACCCGCAAACGTGGATGCCGCCGTGAATACCCCAGTTGTGGTTGATTCAAACGATGATGGAACAGTCGCCCAGGAACCGGAATTAGAGCATATGAGGAGTACATTGGAAGAGGCGATTGTGGAAACGCGCAGTACGCCTCTCGAAAATCGACCGCGACTTCCCCGCATAGCCCTAAGCAAGCGGAATCGGGCTGTCGTGAGGGCTCTGAACCCAATGCTGGTGACCTATTTGGAAGCCAGCCGGGACCTTTGCGAGACGGACTCAATTCTTTTTGGCGCCGCGCTGGCAGTCTGCCGTATCATAGGCGCCAAGGTTTCCACGGCTGGACGCGCTACTGGCCATAGTAGCGCTATCCCAGCATGGAGAAGAAGAATTGAGGAACGTATCGCAAAGGCTAGAGCTCTCATCGGCAGACTGATATGCTTCAGATCAGGCAACAACAGGCCAAGGATTGTGCGCACCGTCAGGATGGCGTTTGCTGGGACAATTGTCAGTTTGTCCCAGCCGGATATAACGCAAAAACTGACGGAGCGCATAGATGATCTGAAGCAGAGAATCGCTGCTTGGGGAAAACGGATTCGGCGATATACCGAGAGGTCGACACGGTTCAACCAGAATCGTCTCTTCCAGAGTGATCAGAAGAGGCTCTATGAATCATTGGAGCGACCAATGGTAAGTGGAACGGGTCCAGCACCGAATCAGGCCGACACTGTAGCATTCTGGCGCGGCCTGTGGTCAGAGCCCGTAAACCACAGCGAGGGCCCTTGGAAGGAAGTTGTGGCGAGTCAGTGGGCGGGTATTACGCCCATGGACCCCGTCACCATAACGCCGGATGACGTAGCTGAGGCGGTCCGTAGGGCCCCGAACTGGAAAAGTCCGGGGCTTGACGGGCTGCATCACTACTGGCTGAAGGGGTTCATGGTGTGTCACTCTGTGCTTGCCCGACAGTTTCAAGAGGCTCTCAACCAGAAGTCGCTCCCAAGCCTCTTCACTACTGGGATCACTCATTTGGTTCCTAAAGACCAGGGTACCACAGACCCGAGCAAATACCGCCCCATCACGTGTCTACCGACCATATACAAGACACTAACATCCATTTTGAGCGCGAGAATCACTTGTCACCTGGACTCAAATCAGGTGATGTCGCGCGCTCAAAATGGATGTCGGGGCGGTGGTCGTGGAACCAAGGAACCACTCCTCATTGACGCGGTCATTGGCAAAGTGGTGAAACGCAACCGTCGGAACTTCTCCGCCGCCTGGATAGACTACAGAAAGGCATTCGACTCGGTGCCCCATACATGGCTAAAGAGAGTCCTCGAGCTGTACAAGATAGACTGTACAGTTAGAGACTTCCTGGAGCAGTGTATGGGGCAGTGGAGTACGATCCTTTGTCATCTGGGCGAGCGGATGATGGCTGCGGAGAACCACATAAGGATAAGAAGGGGTATCTTCCAGGGCGATTGTCTGAGTCCAATCTGGTTCTGCCTCTCTCTGAACCCTCTCAGTACCTTACTGGAGGGCTCCGGGAGGGGATTTCAGCTACGGAGAGGAGGGACAAAAGTGACCCACCTTTTCTATATGGATGACCTCAAGTTATTCGCCTCCAGTCGCTCCCATCTTATGGAATTGCTAAACATCACTTGTGAATTTAGCAATTCCATTGGAATGGAGCTAGGGACGGATAAGTGTGCGGTCCTCCATGTTGAAAGGGGAAGGGTTGCTAACTCTGAGGGCATAGACTTATCTATGCCCGTCAACTTAAGGACCCTTTCCGAGGCTGAAACATACCGATACCTGGGTATGTCACAAAACATCGGTATCGATGAGACTGGTATGAAACAGTCAGTTTGCGACGTGTTTTATGCACGCTTGACCAAAGTGCTTAACAGCCTTTTGTCCGGTGTGAATAAGGCACACGCATATAACGGCTGGGTCATGCCTGTCCTCATGTATACCTTTGGCATACTCAGGTGGACTCAGACTGAACTTAACGCCCTGGATAGAAAAGTCCGCACTACCATGACGTCCCATAGGATGCATCATCCGAGATCGTCGGTAATGAGGCTGTACTTGTCGCGGAAGCATGGTGGTCGTGGCTTCTTGAGCGCGCTCACCATGCATAATCGCGAAGTGTGCAGCCTCCTTGATTACTTCCTGGCGAGATCGGATGATTCATTCTATATGGACGTCATTTCTTGTGATAAAGGACTTACCCCTCTATCCTTAGCCAACGAGCAATGGCAAGACCCGGCAGTGCAGAGCATTTCCGACCGAGAGACCGTATGGAAGGAGAAGGAGCTCCACGGGAGGTTCTACAAGGCTCTACATGAGCCTTTCGTAGACACAGTAGCCTCCCTCCACTGGCTACGCTTTGGTGATCTCTTCGGGGAAACCGAGGGTTTTGTCTGTGCAATACAGGATCAGGTTATTAAGACCAACAACTATCGGAGATACATCCTAAAGGATGGCACCGTCGACATCTGTCGAGCTTGTCTCCATCCCGGTGAGTCACTTAGGCATGTTATCTCCGGTTGTTCGGCGCTTTCTAACTCTGAGTACTTGCACAGGCACAACCTAGTAGCCAGAATTCTACACCAGGAGCTCGCTCTGAAATACGGTCTCGTGGACCGGAAATTGCCGTACTACAAGTACTTGCCGGAAGCCGTGCTCGAAAATGATCGCGCCAGGCTCTATTAGGACCGGGCCATCATCACAGACAGGACTATTCTTGCGAATAAGCCTGATATTGTGCTGATGGACCGGGCACAGTCAAGGATATTTTTGGTCGACATTACCATTCCGTATGACGAGAACCTCGTGAAAGCCGAAACAGACAAGCAAACAAAATATCTGGACCTGGCTCACGAGGTGACCGACATGTGGGGTGGTCTGCCGACCGAAATTATTCCTGTAGTCGTCTCTGCAAACGGGCTAATCCCAGTCAGCCTCTCGGGTCATCTGAGGCGGCTGGGACTACGTGGCGGACCGCTCCAGGCTCAAATGCAGAAGGCGGTGCTCCTCGATACCGCCCGCATCGTCCACCGGTTTCTTTCCCTTTCCCCTAACCCTCGGCCGTTTGGTCTCCCCTGCCGAGGGCCTCCATCTGGTTGGGCTTTTATTTATTTATGTATTTTTATATTTATTTTATGTTATTGATATTTATGTATATTTATTTTTTCATTTTCATTTATAATTACATATTTATAGAGCCCAACCAGATGAGAAAGCTATATGGATACCCCATATAATAATAATAATAATTTGTGCTCGCCCGACAGTTTCAAGAGGCTCTCGACCAAAAGTCACTCCCGAGCCTCTTCACTACTGGGATCACTCACTTGGTTCCTAAAGATCAGGATACCACAGACCCGAGCAAATACCGCCCCATCACGTGTCTACCCACCGTATTTAAGACACTGACATCCATTTTGAGTGCGAGTATCACTCGTCACCTGGAGCTAAACCAGGTGATGTCACGCGCTCACAATGGATGTCGTGACGGTGGTCGTGGAACCAAGGAACCACTCCTCATTGACGCGGTCATAGGCAAAGTGTTGAAACGCAACCGTCGGAACTTCTCTGCCGCCTGGATAGACTACAGAAAGGCGTTCGACTCGGTTCCGCATACATGGCTAAAGAGGGTCCTCGAGCTGTACAAGAATGACTGTACAGTTAGAGACTTCCTCGAGCAGTGTATGGGGCATTGGAGTACGATCCTTTGTCATCTGGGCGAGCGGATGATGGCTGCGGAGAACCACATAAGGATAAGAAGGGGTATCTTCCAGGGCGATTGTCTGAGTCCAATCTGGTTCTGCCTCTCTCTGAACCCTCTCAGTACTTTACTGGAGAGCTCCGGGAGGGGATTTCAGCTACTGAAAGGAGGGACAAAAGTGACCCACCTTTTCTATACGGATGACCTCAAGTTATTTGCCTCCAGTCGCTCCCATCTTATGGAACTGCTAAACATCACTTGTGAATTTAGCAATTCCATTGGAATGGAGCTAGGGACGGATAAGTGTGCGGTCCTCCATGTTGAAAGGGGAAGGGGTGCTAACTCTGAGGGTCAACTTAAGGACCCTTTCCGAGGTTGAAACATACCGATACCTGGGTATGTCACAGAACATCGGTATCGATGACGCTGGTATGAAACAGTCAGTTTGCGACGTGTTTTATGCATGCTTGACCAAAGTGCTTAACAGCCTTTTGTCCGGTGTGAATAAGTCACACGCATATAACTGCTGGGTCATGTCTGTCCTCATGTATACCTTTGGCATACTCAGGTGGACTCAGACTGCTCAGCTTAACACCCTGGATAGAAAAGTCCGCACTACCATGACGTCCCATAGGATGCATCTTCCGAGATCGTTGGTAATGAGGATGTACTTGCCGCGAAAGCATGGTGGGCGTGGCTTTCTGAGCGCGCTCACCATCATAATCGCGAAGTGTGCAGTCTCCGTCAATACTTCTTGGCGAGATCGGATGATCCATTCTATAATGACGTCATTTCTAGTGATAAAGGGCTTACCCCTCTATCCTTAGCCAACGAGCAATGGCAGAACCCAGCAGTGCTTAGCATTTCCGACCGGGAGACCGTATCGAAGGAGAAGGAGCTCCACGGGAGGTACTACAAGGCTCTACATGAGCCCTTCGTTGATACATTCATCTCCCTCAACTGGCTACGTTTCGGTGACCTCTTGGGGGAAACCGAGGGTTTTGTCTGTGCAATACAGGATCAGGATATTAAGACCAACAACTATCGGAGATACATCCTAAAGGATGGCACCGTCGACGTCTGTCAAGCTTGTCGCCATCCCGGGGAGTCACTTAGGCATGTCATCTTGGTTGTTCGGTTTTTGTTAGGGCTCGCTCTAAAATACGGGGGTTTTACCGGGCCATCATCACAGACAGGACTATTCTTGCGAATAAGCCTGATATTGTGCTGATGGACCGGGCACAGTCAAGGATATTTTTGGTCGACATTACCATTCCACATGACGAGAACCTCGTTAAAGCCGAAACAGATAACCGAACAAAATATCCGGACCTGGCTCACGAGGTGACCGACCGAAATTATTCCTGTAGTCGTCTCTGCGAATGGGTTAATCCCAGTCAGCCTCTCGGGTCATATGAGGCGACTGGGACTCCGTGACGGACCGCTCCTGGCTCAAATGCAGAAGGCAGTGGTCCTCGATACCGCCCGCATCGTCCATCGCTTTCTTTCCCTTTCCTGCTAACCTTCGGCCGTTTGGTCTCCTCTGCCGAGGGCTTCCATCTGGTTGGATCTTTATTTATTTGAGTATTTTTGTATATATTTTATTTTATTGATATTTATGTATATTTATCTTTTCATTTTAATTTATAATTATATGTTTATAGAAACCAACCAGATGAGAAAACTATACAGATACCCCTATAATAATTATTTATTTCGATAACATATTGTCTACATTTACAGATAGTGATCGAAAACACCTTTTTAGCAAAAATATTGCCTGTAATAAGTGCCTTCACTCTTCCATAGCTACTAGTTAACATAAAGTTTATTATCTATAACAGTATTAGGGGTACATAAATATATGAAAAATATGAATTGTGTGTGTGTGTGTGTGTGTGTGTGTGTGTATGTGTGTGTGTGTGTGTGTGTGTGTGTATGTGTGTGTGTTAAGTTATGCCTTGTGTCTTAGAATAATCTCCGTTTCCTCGTAATCTATAGGTATTAAAAAGTTGGTAACAATTTTTTTTGTATTCGCGTAGTGTTTTATTGTATATGTCTACGATTTTATTTACTTTATTGTATAGATAGGCCGAACGACTGTTGAGTTGATTTTTAGCAAAGGCGGTTCTAGTTTTGGTAAATGTAATAACATTTTTTTTCTTCTAGCTGTAGTAATGTTTGAGACTTAAGGTGTAGTTTTATGTCTTTTTAATATAACGTTGAGAATGTACAGCTTTCTAACAGATAAGACTTTACTGACAGCGTATAGAGTATGCGTTGGAAGTCTTCTACGTTTAATCACTTTCAGTAAAGCACGTTGCGCACGATCCACCTCAAACATTTTTGTTTCAGTCGCTCCTCCCAAAATGGAAAGGCTATAAGTTAGGATTGATTGCGCAAGTGAGGTATATATTTCTTTAAAAATATTCCTTCTGTGGCTATGATCAACCCCCCACCCCCAGGCACTATATGTCTCAAGGTCTTGAATATCCAGATCAGTTTTCTTAATCTGGTAGAGACTAGTTCAATGTGCGAATGCCAAGAGAGCCGCTGGTCTATCACAACCCCCAGGTATTTTGTTTTATCAATTCTGTCTATAACAGGACAATCACAATTAGTGGGTTCAGTATCAGGAATGCAAGAGTGAATTAATACATTGAAGTTAATGTCAGGTTGTGAATGGTTTTAAATGCTGTAACAGATGTAGTTAGTTTTGGCTGTATTCAGGGTCAACAGATTATTTTTTAACCAGTTATTAATCAAGTTCAGGCCAGATTCAGCATTATTCTTCACATCAGCCCAGTTTTTCCCAGTAAAAATGACTGCTGTATCATCTGCGTAGGAAAAGATGTGCGCATGGTCAATTTGTAGATTACAGAAGTCATTAATATATATATATATATATATATATATATATATATATATATATATATATATATATATATATATATATATTAGAAAAAGCGTTGATCCTAACACACTTCCCTGTGGTACATCATAAGATACAGCAATGTCTTCACTGATGTAATGACCCAATTTCACTCTTTGCATTCTATCAGAGAGTTAGCTCTTAAAGATAGATAGCGCAATATCTCTGATACCTAATTATTCTAGTTTTTGGACAAGAATAGGGATAGAAACAGTATCAAATGCTTTCCTGAAGCCCAAAAAAACAGTCAGACACTTGATCCCTTTATCCATCGTCTCAGTAACTACTTGGCTAAGTGCAGCTATTGCATCTTCAGTTGATCTGTCCTTGTACCCTGTCTGAAGCCAAACTGTGACGTCGATAGAAGCTGAAATGTATCTAAGTAATTTAATAATCTAGAATTCAAAAGTCTCTCAAGTATCTTTGAAATAGCCAAAATTGGCCTATAATTACCCACATCATCCCTGTCCCCACTCTTGTATACAGGAGTGACTACTGACTTTTTTAGCGGGGCTGGAAAAACGCCCTGCTCAAAACATAAATTAGCTAAGTGAGTGACTATAGGTACAAGTAGTTTTTTACAAGTTTTAAGAACGTGGTGGGAATTTTGTCCCAACCAGGAGCGCCATCTGATCTCAAGTTCATGAGTGTTCTTTCTGCTTTATTCACATCAGTTTCTAGCAAGACAAAGGAGTTGCATGTAGCAACAGCATTTCTAGTTCCGTGAATTAGATTAGAATTGCCACTAGGATTAATATTTTCGGCAAGATGCTCTCCTATTTTTGCAAAGTAATTGTTAATAAAATTTGTAGATTCAGTTGGATCATTTTTCAGTTTGAATAACTCCTCACTTTTATCGTGTGATTTATTGCTAAAGGTAATTATTTTTATATTTTTCGACAGCAGTCTATTATTACTAACTGATTTAGTAAGCAAGTCCCTTTCGTATTTCCTTTTAAGTTTTTTAATAAGCTTATAATATAAATTTCTATATCTAGTGTAGGTTATTTATAATATTTTATTGTGACTCTCTTTTCGAAGCTGTTTTTGTAGTTTGATACGATGTTTAATGCATCGTAAAATTCCAAGAGTAATCCACGGCTTTATTGTGCGCTGGCTTCTAGGAATCGAGATATTTATGGTATTCGAATTCAGTGATACAGTGAGCATAGCTATCAGACGGTTAGATAAAGCCTTTAGATCACTATAAAATAGTAATTCATTAACCCTCAACCACTGACGTACATATGTGGTACGTCGCCTAAACAATTTTTCGATGTAAATTTTAAATTGCGCGGGATTTCGAACGCGTCCTTTTTGGTAGTTTCCTATTCGCCAGTAACGACCGCGTAACAGTGGAGTGCAGACGTGTGGCACATAGGTAAGTTTGATACTTTGACGTACGTCATACGTATTGTCAGTCTTAGTGTGTCTTTTTTAAATTATGTGTTTATGTTTGTCTTTAGATAAAATGAATCGTAAGCGATGTAATTCTTCTTCCGGCATATCTTCGTCTAGAAAAATACTACGTATTGGAAGTTATGCTACTAATAACGAAGAAATTATCGCATCTTGGCTTTGTGAATCAGATTAATCATCGGCGTATGAAAATTATTACATTCAGTCGGACCGCGATGATTATTCAGAAGAGGAGTATTGTGATGATGGAGAGGCCGCTGGTGGAGCTTCGAACCCTGACTCTTCTGAAGATGGTATGCCTTTGTCACATTTTTCCCGCCATATTGATTCTGAAAAAAGGCAAACTGGCGTCCAGGTAAGCGATTCTCAAGTAAATACAGTTGCCGAGGGTAATGTATCGCAATCTTGCAGAAAGTACTACTACGGAAAAAAACGCTGCATGAAGTGGTCTGCAGAAGGACCATCGAGAACTACACGCACACCTGCGCACAACATCGTTACTCCAATAACTACAATTGATTTTTCTCCGGATAGCCCGCCTTCACAATTATTTAGTTTGCTAATAACTGACAATATTAAAACACAAATTATAGAAAATACTAACCAAAAACTGGAATTGATAAGGCAAAAATATAAGCTACAAGGTAACTGAACTGAAGGACTTAGATTGTGTAGAGTTGGATGCTTTCATTGGACTGTTGATTTTTAGTGCAGCATTAAAATCGAATGATGAAGACATAAATGCATTGTTTGCTACTGATGGAACAGGGAGAGATATTTTAGAGGAGTAATGTCCAAAGATCGTTTTGCAATGATTCTCGTAAGTCTTCGGTTTGATGATCCATCTACCAGAGATGAAAGAAAACAGTCTGAGGTTGCTGCTCCTATCTCGAGCATATTTTATGAATTTGTCGCCAATTGCCAAAAGTATTATAAAATTGGAGACAATACCACTATCGACGAAATGTTAGTGTCTTTTCGAGGCAGGTACAGATGGAAGAAGTACATGCCTAACAAACCCTGCAAGTATGGATTGGAAATAAAATGTCTAACTGATAGTACCACCGGTTACCTGTACAATGCTTACCTCTATACAGGCAAGAACAGTGACGGCAATGGACTAACCGACGAACAGAAAAAACTGCTGGTACCTACACAATGTGTTTTACGTTTAGCAAAACCCATCATGGGAACTAATCGAAACATCACTGCAGATAATTACTTCTCCTCGATTGAAGTATGCAGAGAATTAAAAAAAAATTGTTTGACATATGTAGGAACACTAAAAAAAACAAAAGGAAAATACCACCTAAATTTCTTTCCAAAACTCGACCAGTTCATTCAATTTTATACAGTTTCACGAAAGACATTATGTTGTTGTCTTATGTACCAAAAAACACAAAACTGTCATAATGTTGTCGTCGATGCACCATACAGAGAGCATGGATTCGGTCAAAGGGATCCCAGAAATAATATCGTTTCTGTGCAAGAAGGTCTAGGCGATGGCCGTTGATCATATTCTACAGAATTTTGGATATTGCTGCTGTCAATTCTTTTATAATGTCAAATTATAATACTTCGGATCGTCTGAGTTTCATGAAAAATCTTGGAAAAAGCTTAGTAAAGCCGCACCTCGAGCGAAGATACACGACGCCGCAACTTTCACATGAGCTTTCGAGTCTTATTGGTCGTATCTTGGGCAAAGATATGGCTACCGAAGTGGGTCAGCCAAGTCATGAAATTATAAAATTTGAAACCATGAACAATTGCTATACCTGTTATAAACTAAAACGTCGCAAAACAAGATATGGTTGTCAAGCATGCGGTAAACCAGTATGTTTGCAGTGCTCTAAGCCGACCTGCAGAAACTGTTGTTAAAAAGTGCCTAATTTTCATTATTTATGTGATTGCTATTTTTTTATAACTAAAACCATCCTTAGTAAGTAACAAAACCAATAAAAAACGTTCCTATTCTTAAAAATTATTTTTTAGTTGATTTAAAAAAAATATTATGTTAATTTCATTACTTTTAAGGCCGTTGATTAATAAATATTTTGCTTTAATTATCTTAACAGTTTTTTTTAATATCCCTAGGATATATTAGATATATTTAACCAAAAAGTGGCCGTAGATGGAAAAGGGGAGATCTCCCGCCGGGCAAGGTGTTCTGCCCGGGGAGCGGCCGACACTCCGAGTGATAGTTCGGAGAAGTTCTATATACACTGTCTATGATTCGTAATGTTAATAGCGCGATTTAGGCTTCTGTGTGTTTCGATGTGCTAGGGCGTCGCTACATCACCCCATGCTCAGACCGGAGGTCGATAGTGCAGCCTCGTTGCTGACGAATGTGCAAGTGCCAGGAGATTGCCTTGTAGTCTGCGGTGAGTCGAGAAGAAGGCAAGTAATCTGCGAGAGTGCCGTGAGGCAGAGGCGAGCAGTAAGGCTCAGAGCCGTGCCGAACACTGTATAGCGCAGAGAGTAGCTTGAAGGAATAGGAAGCATTATTATTCCAGTGCTGCGATGAACCTTGTGAAGCTAGCTGGCTTGTAGATGCAGAGAGAAGACTGCAGACGATATCTGCTCAGGAGCGAATGGGTGGGGTATTCTATGACGATGATGAAGCTTGAAATTTCCGAAGGTTGTTTGGTTGCGTGTTCAGATTACGTCGGATGGTCACCACTGTGGCCGATGAAGGAAAAGGGGAGATCTCCCGCCGGGCAAGGTGTTGTGCCCGGGGAGCGGCCAACGCTCCGAGTGATAGTTCGGAGAAGTTCTATATATACTATGATTCGGAATGTTGATAGCGTGATTTAGGCTTCGGTGTATTTCGCTTGTGGCGCGACGACTGCGCCGCTACATCACCCCTGCTCAGACCGGAGGTCGATATTGCAGTCTCGTTGTTGACGAATGTGCAAGTGCCAGGAGATTGTCTTGTAGTCTGCGGTGAGTCGAGAACAAGGCAAGTAAATCTGCGAGAGTGCCGTGAAGCAGAGGCGAGCAGTAAGGCTCAGAGCCGTGCCGGACACTGTATAGCGCAGAGAGTAGCTTGAAGGAACAGGAAGCATTATTATTCCAGTGCCGCGATAAACCTTGTGAAGCTAGCTGGCTTGCAGATGCAGAGAGAAGACTGCAGACGATATCTGCTAGGCAGCGAATGGGTGGGGTATTTTATGACGATGTTGAAGCTTGAACTTTCCGAAGGTTTGGTTGCGTGTTCAGATCACGTCGGGTGGTCACCACTGTGGCCGTGGAAGGAAAAGGGGAGATCTCCCGTCGGGCAAGGTGTTATGCCAGGGGAGCGGCCAACGCTCCTTGTGATAGTTCAGAGATGTTCAATATATACTGTTTATGATTCGGAATGTTGATAGCATTATTTAGGCTTCGGTGAGTTTCGCTTGTGGCGCGAAAAAAAATCAAATCAGAATATTTACACTCTATCGATGCACAAGAGGTCTTTAAAATCATAGACGTATGTCATACGTACGTCAGTGTTAGTGTTACTAAATTGCACGTCATTGCTTGAGGGTTAATATTTTTTTTGTTGGAGATCCTTATGAGCTTTAATATAATCTGTTTTAGTTTTTGTTTTATTAATAGAGTTTAATAGTTTAGTCTTAGATAGAGAAAGAACGGTAATAAAGTAATCTGTTATGGAGGTACGCAAAACTGCAATGAATGCTGAATGTTTATTCTTGTTAATCTTTAGCATAAAGTGTTCTAGGCAGTTATCTCTAGTGTGTATAGTGTGACCCGCTAGTATACCATATGCTGAGAGAGCGTTCAAATAGTAAGTTCTATTTTTGTACTCATATGCCGGTTCAATAAGTTTGGGTGTAATATTAATGTTAATGTCTCCCGTGATTATAATGTTATTTTGGTTAGTTAAGGTATCGAAGTGTGAACAAAGTGAGTCTATGAACCCATCAGCATTTATATTAGAAGGGGATCGATAAATACATAATATTGTGTTATTAAGTACGTCAAGCTGAAGACAAGAAGCGTGAGTAAGACTTATTTCCCTAACTTTTGTCTGTAAAGATTTTTTAATATAAGTAACTACACCATCATTCTGATTCAGATGGTGTGTCGTTGAATAAGAACTATAATTGCGTAGTTGTGGTACAGGTTTATATGAGGTAAGTCTATATTCAGTCAGGACCAAAATATCCGCCTCAAAGGGAAAACTAGGCAAGGTCAACATCAAATCGTCCAAATTACTGTAAATACCATAGTTGTATTATGGATGGAAGCTCAGAACAGTCACACTCTATTGCACGAGAAATAGCAATACTGTCGATCACATTTAAGTTACGAAGTTGAGAATCACCCATTTGGTGTACAGAAACATGCAAATATCGTTACTACAGGATTATGGCTAATTGTAATGATTTGAAAATGTATATAAATGTATTGTAAAAATTTGAAATTTGAAATAATACTAGTTGGGGGTCATTGTAGAAGCGTGCTCGTCGAGACCCCTGCTAGCCTTTTTAGGGCTGTAATTCTACACAGCTGCGCACCCATGCAAACGAGGATTACGGCGTCCCCCCAAGGCGATGCACACCAGCTCGTCCCCGTTGGTGTGGAATGCAGCGCGCAAAGCGGAGATGGGGACCGCCACCTGTCACGTACAGCCCGACACGGCGGAAGGTGGAGGACTGAGTGCAGAGTTGGCACGTGGAATGTTAGAGGGAGCATAAGAGATAAGATGAATGAGTTGATCGAAATAATGAAAGAAAGAGAATTAGATGTCGTGTGTATGTCGGAGACCAAACGAAAAGGCAGTGGTACTGAAGAGCTCCCTGGCGGGACGTTAGCTATATGGTCCGGAGTCGCCTGCCGGGGAGTAGGGGTGCTGTTGTCGTCCCAGTTGGTCGATCTTATGACTGAATATAAGGTTGTGAACTAAAGACTTCTCTGGGTTCGCTTTAAACTGGGACTGACGAAGTTATTCCTTTTGGCTGTTTATGCGCCGGTATCTTCGTCGTCCAGGGCTGAGCTGGAGGAGGTTTAGGAGAATGTAAGAGAAGTTCTAGATTTGGTTAAGGGAAACGAAAGAACTGTTGTATATGGTGATTTGAATGGATGGGTAGGTATCGCTCGACCAGGGTACGAGTCGGTGCTTCGAAAGTTTGGCGATAAAAGGGTTAATGATGCTGGCAAGCTTATACTGGCTGTATGCAAGGAAAGGGGTTTTCTTGTGACAAACACTATGTTTAATCACAGGAAAATCCATATGTACACTAGAGAAAGAAAGAATGAGAGAAGTATGATTGATTTGTTCCTGGTGGATGACCAACTGCGAAAACAGGTGATGGATACACGAGTGCTCAGGGCTGCTGACCTGGGAACGGATCACTATCTAGTAATTACTAGATTTAGGGGTTTGTTCGCGGGTTGGCGCTACCGGACGGCAGTAACAGAACCACAGTCGGTCTGTCGCATCCGAAGCTGGAAGCTTCAGGAAGTGAATAATAATGAAAAAGATCACACGGGTAGGCGAAAAGCTTGACACCATCGATGGCAAAAAAGAGTGTGTGGAAAGAACATGGCAGAACCTTAGGGATGGAGTGGTAAGTGCAGCGGAAGAAGTATGTGGAACGACAAAAGAGGTAGTAGTAAAAGAAGAGACGCATGGTGGAATGATGAAGT